TAATAACCTCATCCTTGACATTGAAGCCAGAGTGATGATTTCCCTGTAGTGACTACAAAACATATTTGAAATCAATTCCCATATTTAAAACCTTTAATCCTTATGTTTAATATGTGTGTATCTCTCTCTCTCTCTCTCTCTCTCTCTCTCTCTCTCTGTCCCCCCCCCAGCTCTACCAACTGTTTACAAAAGATTTTCCATCCAAACATTAGCTATGACTCTAGATTAAATCTTGACACTCCTGTCTCCACTTTCATGAAGAACATAAAATTTCAGAAGGCAGCTACCATCATGATCACCAAAGATTTATCACGTTCCAACATGTGCCAAGAAATACTTTAGAAATACTTTAGAAGCTTTGAATCTAATTGGAGAGGTAGGGAATAAACAGAATGAAAAAAGCAATAACCCAGAAGTAAAAATGTGTTGGTTTCTAGAGCTACCGGGGTCCATCCACACTGGGCATGTTTCTAGTCCATCTCTGAATTTCCTCCCTGGAGTCACAAGTTTAAAAAAATCACTTGTATTTCAAGATCCAGATCACTGGACACACTTCTTTCAAAGCCTTCTAAGATGTACTTCATTTATCCCCAAATCAGAAGCAATTTCTCAATTCTTTCAACTCCCACAGCAGCTTATGTGTTTTTCTCCTGGAATACTTGTATCGCAATTATTTATGTACAGAATTTATTTCCAGGGCCAGATAAGATCAGAAACTTCTAGAGGATAGAATCTATGTATCTGTGAATCTCAATATAACTTAGCACAAGGGGCTGGGGAGTGGGGGAAATGAGATGTTGGTCAAAAGTCAAAAACTTCCAGTGATAAGATGAGTAAGTTCTGGGATCTAATGTATATCATGATACTTATAATTAATAATACTATATTATATTGTATACGCATATTGAAAGTTGTTAAGAAAGTTGACCTTAAATGTTCTCACCAGAAAAAGAAATGGTAATTATGTGAAGTGATGGAAGTATTAGTTAATGCTTTAGTGGTAATTATTTTACAAGATGTAACTGTATAAATCAACGTGTTGTATACCTCAAACTTACACAATATCACATGTCAATTATATCTCAATAAAGCTCTGGGAAAGGAACACAGGAAAAAAAAAAACACTATGGAAATACACTGCTTAAGATCTTGGGGCAGCTTTTCAGGCTCTGAACACATGTACTGCTAGTCCAGCTCTATGGTATCCTTTCTCTACCCCTAAAATCAATCGCTTATAAGAAAGGATCTAACTGATTTTTTCCCTATTACTAGAGTAGCAACTAATATATTTCCACCTCCAAAGATAAACCTATCTAAGAAACTATTTCAAATATCAAATATTCTCTTGTACCAATTGGTTTACAAGATCCACAAAATTCCTAGCGTTACTTATTGTTGGAGAAAACAGAATGTGGAAAAACAAATATACATAGATAGGACCATGCCTGGAATACCCTCCAATTCCCTGCTCCATCTGACAAGGCTAAGCGAGACCACTCCTGCCCTCTGTGCTCTCGATCTCTATGAATCTGCAAAGCAAAGATTCCTATGAAGGAGGCTGGGTCTTAGAACTGGGCTAAACAGGATTTCTCAGCCTCGGCATTTCAGAAGATCTGAAATTGGATCTTGATCATTGGGAACCTGCCATCATCATTAAACAGAAAAAAGCAGACAGACATCTGTTCTGTCCGGGAACACAGAGAGCATAGTAATCACAAGCGACAGTCTGGTACAGAACACCAGAACACCGAGGCCTCAGCTTGGACAGGCTGCAGTCACCCCAGGAGCAAGGGAGGCCACGCAAGTGTCCAGCAGTGCAAGGCTCTCATCAATGAGGGAATTGATTACATGAAGCCCCTTCTCCATCACTGTCCTCTCCCTGTCTTACAGATCCTGGATTCCAGGAACAAATCTGAGAATCGAGACTGCAGCCTGACTCTTGTTGCTTTTCACCCCTATGCCTGTCATAATACTCTCTTCTTCTCTCCTCATTTTATCCAAATCTCATCCACCTGTCAAGGCTCATCTCCAGGTCCACATCATTCATTCACTGATTTATTCATTTACCAAAAGCAAGTACTTACTTGATACAAAGTGATATACTAGTCATTGTGCAGAATTCAAAGCCAATTGTGGGTAGATCCTTCCTTCATGATGTTTACAAGCCTGGAGAGCGAATAAACATATAAATAATGCCAACAGAAGGCCAAAAAAAAAAAAAAAAAAGAAGTGGCACCATAAGACAGGTAAGATTAAATGCTGTATGGGTTCAAAATAATGAACAATGACCTCTATTCAAGGATATCAAAGAAGGCTTAATTGAAAAGGTGGTGGTCATGTTTGGACTCAAAGAATGCAGACACAGATATGGAAGAAGAAGCACAAAGGTCCACCAAAGGAAATAAAGGGAAGGAAGAATGTGCAAGCTGTGTTTACAGAACACTGAATACATTCAGTGTGATGGGAAATGAACTTAAAAGGGAATCACAAAATATCCACAAAGGCAGGTTAAGACCTAATTGTAGCATCCCTCTGTAAAACAACTCCAGCATCTATGACCTCTCCTGACTCCTTTTCCCTGTGACTTTCCATAATGCTTCTGTCTGCATCTCACCCTCTGTGCTCCGAATGGCAGACATTCCATAAATGTGTGTTGAATAATTAATTTAAAAAGACACTCACTGGTAAATGTTTTTAAGTAATATAACCCAGGGAAATTGGGTAGTATGTTCTAAGTGAAAACTTGGTTGCCTCGAAATGATCATCTTTGTTCTCTTGTTTGCAGAACTAATAAATAAAAACTATGGTCTTGAGAAAGATAGTAGTGATAATTCACATTTTAAGGGCATTCTGAAATGCGTAAATCATCTTATCTCAAGTTACTTCAGACTGACAATGAACCAAAGGCAGATGTGCTAGAGGAACTTGGAAGACCTGTGTTGGCCCTTGGGCTCCTGGATCCCACACACACCCCTACACCATGCCACCTAATCAGAAACATCCACCAAGGGGCCAGAGATAGCACAGGTTGGAAATAGACCCGGTGAAGGAAGATAAGAAGCAAATGGAGAATGCTTGGGAAGTTGAGAAGACTTGAGACTCCCAGCTGAAAATATTCATAAGCTCCCAAAAACATTCAGCTAGATCATCACCACCACCACCACCATCATCACCACCATAATTTACTGAGTACTTACTGTGTATCAGGCATTGTGAAAAATGCTTTATAAATAGAATTTCATTTCATTCTCCTAACATATGAAGTAGACGTTACTACAACCATTTTATAGATGAGAACACGGTGATGAAGCAATCTGACCAGGTTTAATAGCAGGAGTTGGCAAATTCAGGATTCTGTTCAATTCCCAGGTCTGTTCAATCCCAAGCCCTACTGAGACTACCTACCTCTCTGGAGTCGAATGGATGGTAGATTCTCCATGCATTGTTCAAGAGACCAAGACACATAGCAGAAACCAACATGGTAGGCAACTGGAAGTCAGCTGTGTCCTTCCAAAGCCTGCCCTCTGATAGAAATATCACTGAGAGCTGCTGGATTCTTTGCATGTGTGATTCTTCCTGACTTTCAAAGATGGAAAACACAGCAGCCAAGTTACAATCTAAGATTAAATAAACGTTCCCCAGATCTTCTCACTGAATATGAGAAAAACAAGCAACATGTCAAAACTCCTTAAAGATGTCCTTCTTGAAGACTGGGAAGGGAGAAAGAACTAAGTGGCACCCACAAGTTTCAATAGGGTTGAAAAGTAGTGCTGAAACTTGGGACAAGAGCTGAGAACCAAAAGAACCCAGGACACACCGCCGTCCCTGTGGTTCCTTCCCCTGGAAGCGTTTTCTCAGCATTTGCTTTGGTCTGTCCCCTGTTTAATAAAAATAGAGTCGCTTCTTAGTGTTTTTCAGGCAAAATATCACTTATATCCTACATCCTGTCCAGGAGGTAAATCTATATATTCCAGTCCTCTCCCATTCAGTAGTGTGACAAGTAATTGTTGAATCTGTGTCATTGTGAGCGCAAGCCACTTCTCTCTATACCTCGGCCTCCTTATCTGCAAAATTGGGGTAATGAAGAATCCCCTCCACACACACACAGAGCTGATGTGAGGATTTAACGATTTAGTATGTTCGTAATTAATATATACCTGATGAGCCTAAAGCAATGCCTGCCTGGCACATGGTTAAGTCCTACGTAAATCGAGGCGTTGTTATTCTATGTGTAGAATGGCTGGGCAAATACTAACGATTTTAGCAATCATTTCCATGAAATGCCACTTACCAGTGGTCTGCAGTCTCCCGGAGCGGGAGTCACTGTACTTACGTGCTGACCTGCCCACACCTACATACATTTTTCTGAGATTTTCGCAGGCAATTTCTAGTGTGTTCACGCACTTGAGGGTGTTTTTTTTTTTTTTTTTTTTTTTCTTGAATATCATCACTGAATTCACTCTCTTCATCGTTCTTCCATCCGGCCCAGGGGGAGCCCCTGACCTTGGGGTCAGGGGCCAGGTGAGGGACCCAAAGTGCCGGGACGAGAAGGTTCTTTCAACAGCTCAGAGCTCTGCGCCCCCAGCGGAGCTCCTCCCCTCGTGTCTGATCAAGGACAAAACTCTAGGTCCGGAGGAGACACCTCTGCACACCCCTAAACGTATCCCAAATGGCGTGGTGGGGCAGGAAGCTCACCTCAGGCCTGCCTGCCTTCTCCGCCTAAGAAATCCCGTGGAGCGCACCTGCTGCGGCCTGGCACCGCGCAGGGCAGGACGGGGGGCCGCCAGCACCGCCGCAGGACGACCTGGCTGGCGCCCGCTCCGCCGGGACACAGCGCCCCGCCCCGACCGGCCACGCCGGCGCCGCCAGGCGGGGACCCGGTCCGCGCACGCTCCCGCGAGGCCCCGCCCCCGCCCCGCCCCCGCCCCGCCCCCGCGCCCCGCGGGCGCACGTGGCCCTTCCGGCGCCCGCCTCAGCTGTCAATCACGCGCAGGCTGAGCTCGGCAAGGCGGGAGCCGAGGCGGCGGCGGCGGCGGCGGCGGCGGCGGCGGCGGCGGCGGCGATGGGACCCCTGCGAGAGATCTGCGGCTAGCCGGCTGCACTTGCTCCACGGGTCGGGGGATCGGAGGGGGCAGGTAAAGCCGTGCGGAGCCGCTCCGTTGGTCTTTCCCCGATTCTCCCTCTCCTCCCTTTCCTCATTCCTCTCTCCTCACGCACAGATCTTCATCTTCTGTTCTTCTGCGTCTGTGTCACACACACACACACACGCACACGCACACGCACCCCTTACTCATTCGCGTTTATTGTAGGTGCACAGATCTCTGCAAATATCATGCACGTTAAAATCCGTGAACCCATACAAATTATGGGAAGCCAACTCCATGCTTTGGTGATTTGCGGTTTGTGTTACGTAAGAGTTTGGGAGGTGTACGGGGAAAACTGAAGAGTTTCTTTCCCGGGAGACAAGAGAAGTTCTGTATTAGGTAAGAGTCAAATATACGTATTTGGAGTTTGCAAAGCTGGTTTGGTTTGTTTTCTAAGCTGAATTTCACCGGCCCCCCTGCCCTCCCCATTCCTTTGCCATATTCAAAGACACTTGAGTGCTTTGCCATTATCTCAAGACCTACTTCTTCGTATTGTTAGAAAGAGGCGTTGGGTGGGGGTCAGACCAAAGCTGATGACCTCAAAGAACACTGAGCTGGGGTTAAACAGCAGCTGGTGTTTACTTAATCGGTTCCTGGCTCTGTAGCAGAAATGCTTTCAGCACCTTGGAGAGCTCCCTGGCTCCGGCCCAGCCCAGCCTTCGGTGAAGGGCATGTGTGCAGTCATTTCCTTCAGAGAAGACAAAAAGGAAGGACATTTAGTTGAGAGAGGCACAGATGGGGGAAGGGGGGGCTACACTTGTTTTCTTTGCTTATCCAGATCCAGGACCCTAATAAAATTTGCCCCCACCACCACCACCACCACCACCACCCAAATCTGCACACATAACCTCTGCAAAATAAAATTTTAGGGCAAAGAAACGAGTCTTGAAGAACATTTGGCCATGGTTCATATAGACTGAAACTGGAAAATACTGGAAACAGTTTGTCAGGCATCAACTAGGCTTGTTCACTCAAGTCTTTGAGGTTCTCTTCCAAATGGATGAGGAGCTGCCCGTCAGAAAGAATCTTTAGTGACCTCTTGAAAAATATCCCCCAGCTATTATTTTATTTCACATGACTAGAGTAATGTAGGAAGCCAGTAGCTCTATAGCAGGCAGTGGCTTTTTAATTAAATTTTGCATGGGCACCTGCTTTTCTTAGGCAGATGGAAAGTAAAATGATCACGATAGGAAGAAATGGATATAGAAGTAAAAAAATCAACCCAATGAGTAAATCATCTAAAGAAACTTAATAAGTCTAAAATGCTTGTAAACAGATCAGAAAATACAATGGCTATAAGACTAATTTATTTTACGATGTAATAGAAGAGGCACCAAATAAATCAATTCTAGAGTATCTAGGGAGCAAATAAACTTTTTATTTGGAATTTTTAAAATACGGATGTATTAGTCTAGTTGTATTACTGACTACATGGCATATAACCATATCAAAATAAGAATTTGGTTTGCATAGTGTGTTATAGTTTATAAACCCCAATCATTTACCCTATAAAGTCTCATGAGAGCCCATTAAAAAGTTATGGAAGACACATACTTTTGTTAAAGACAAACATCTCCCTGCTCTTCAACAAGAAGTCCTTTGTCAATGTTTATATCAACATTAAAATGACTCGTTACAGCCACAAGAATGGCCTATGGAATTTAGATTTTTATCTGTATCACGTTCTACAGAGATTTTTTTTTTCTTAAATAGATTTGAAGGATGATGTGCCATTGAAAAGAAAGGTCAAAGGCTAAACAAGGAGAAGAGAAAGAGGAAGACTTCAAAGGTAAGACTCCATCCATGTCACATGTGAATTCATAAGCACCTTGTGATTTGCATATAGATAAAGAGGAGGTTTAAAGAGAATATGGGTTCTTTTTCTCTTCTCATTTTGGTTTCGGACCTTGTATACCTTACTTAAAAACATATCTTGAAAAAGTAATAAGATAATTGCGTATCATTACTCCTTTTTAAAAAATTATAAAAGTGGGGGCACCTGGGTGGCAGAGTTGGTTGGGTGGCTGACTCGTGGTTTTAGCTCAGGTCATGATCTCTGGGTCATAAGATTGAACCCTGTGTTCAGCTTCATGCTTGGCACAGACTCTGCTTGAGATTCTCTCTCCTTCTCCCTCTGCCCCTCCTGCTCATTTTCTCTCTCTCTTTCTAAAACAAATAACTAAACCTTTAAAAAAATTATAAAAGTGGCCACATACCTACTGACTTATCAGGTATTACAAAGTCATAATATAGAGCTACAATCTCTACCACACTTCCAAGGAAAGAAAATATTTCTGAAATGATCTTTTGGTAGAAACACATTTTCAAGTTTTAAGGTCATGCTTATACAATTCTAGAATGCCTGATTTAAAAATGAAAAAGCTGTTAGCAGGCTTTCATGCCTTCCTGCTTCCACACTGAGACTGAGTCCTTTAAGCAAATTGACCTTTTGGTTTGGTGTTGGATAAATGGTCTAAAGCAGCTCTGTGCCTATACCCTGCAGCACTGGCTCTGTGGAAAAGTGGCTCTAATGGGGACTTCACTCTCATTATCTCAGAATGATGTTATGGGAAAGAAAAGCAGTATGAAAAATTGAATGATATTTCAAAGAGAATAAACAGAACAGGGCCTGTGCCTGGCCTCACAAATGACTCACACATGGAGCCATGGGAAAACACTAATCTTTTTTGTGCCTCAATTTTCTGCCTCTCTTCTCTCATGAAGACAAATAATATAGAGTCTGTGGTGTTCTTGGAGTTTTGCGAGGCATATTTATTTCTGTTTTCATGGCAATGAACATTTTTCAAGTAAAATAAAAAGTAATTGCATTTATTTGACTGAAATTCAAATTTCCAACAAATTGATACTATAGTGTATTGGTACACATAGAGATCATAATAATACACATGTGGGTTTTCCTCAAAGAGGAATTGTTCATAGAGAAAAAGAAGTAAAAATAAAATAAGATGAAATCAGAGAGAGACAAAACATAAGAGACTTAACTCTAGGAAACAAATTGATGGTCGCTGTAGGGGGTGGAGGGATGGGGTAACTGGGTGATACGCGTTAAGAAGGGGATGTGATGTAATGAGCAGTGGGTATTATATGCAACAGATGAATCACTAAATTCTATCCCTGAAACTAATAATACATTATCTGCTAACTAAATTGAATTTAAATTAAAAAAATTTTAAGAGAAATTGTTCAAGGGATTCTCAGCATTTTCATTTTCTCCAGCAGCAAATACTTGGGGTTGTTTTTTTTTTTTTAAAGATTTGTTTATTTTTATTTGAGAGAGCACATGCACAAGCAGGGAGAGGGGCTGAGAGAGAATCTCAAGCAGACTCTCTGCTGAGTATAGAGCCTGATGCAGGGCTAGATCCCATGGCCCTGAGATCATGACTTGAGCCCAAATCAAGAGTCAGACACTCAACTGACTGAGCCACCCAGGCGCTCCAGCAAACACCTGCTTTTGGTGCCCATTTTGTTGTACTTCTTGCTCCAGGAAGTGTTTCTACTTCGAATCTAAGTATCCACTGAGAGCAGACTGAGCTCCACTCATCTTTATTATCTCACATAATCTGGTGCATAATTAGTGCTGTAAAAACAAGGAAGGAAGGGAGAAATGAAAAAGGAAGGACAACTCAGGCCATCATCCACACCAGCCCATGTAGAGCTTTGTGCCAAGAAGTTTCAAAGTGCTTGTCAATAGGAGAGAAAAAGCACTTGCCCTCATGAAGCTTACAGTCCATCACTACATAGGCTGTCAGACCATAAGCAAATAAACCACATAACAGAGCATCAGATGGTAACAAGCACTATAAAAAGATACAAATTTGAACAAGAGGATAGAGAGTGATTGAGTGCTGACATTGAACGTGCTAATTATAGGAAGCCTCCCAGAAGAGTTTGGGAAAGGAGTTAAGGAATGATTTTCTCTTCTAGTTGGTCTCTGGGACATGACAGGTGTGCTGTGCTGCCAAGAGTTGAATATCCATCTAAATGTATAACCATGCATGCAATGGAGATAGATACCATAGACATTATTATAAAAAGAAGAAAACCATGGACAGATCCTCACTAATTAGCACCTAGAATGTCCTTCAGAGAGAATGAAAATATCTCCCTCTTTAGAGAGGACCAAACAGCCAGATGTTAATGTTGCTCATGCTCCATCATGATGGCCATACTGGCAGCAAGGACACAACATCAAACATGAGCTGGGGTGTTTATAAAGGAATACTCACATGGACTCATTTAAGTACAAGACTAGAAAATATTTTCACTCACGACCCCCTCCCCCCATTCATGCACTTTCTGGAATGTTAAGGCTTTATCTAAAGCAAAGCCATCTCTAGAATCCATCACTTAATAAGAGTCATAGATAGAACATTATTGTTTTTGCAGCTGCTACTATAGCTATAGCTATTCAAATACAAACATCAGATTTCTCATGAAACATTGCTTATTAGGTAAATGCTGAACCAAGCTGAAAAGCCTTTGTACATATCTTCCATTTCTTGTCATTCCTTTTTATTTTATAATAATTGCCCAGCTTTTAAAGTGACTTTATGAAGTGGCATTGTGTATCCTCTTTATAATATTGGAGGTATCAATCAACCAGGTAGATTCTAAATAACTATAACATTTCTATATTGAGACAAAAAGTTACAGGCTTCCCTATGAGGAATTATAATTCTGTTGAGTTTTTGTAGGTGTAAAATTGTCATGGTAACATGCTATATATTTTTTTTATTTTTAAAGATTTTATTTATTTATTCATGAGAGAAACAGAGAGAGAGACAGACATAGGCAGAGGGAGAAGCAGGCTCCATGCAGGAAGCCTGAAGCCCAATGTGGGACTCGATCCCGGGACTCCAGGATCATGCCCTGAGCCAAAGGCAGATGCTCAACCACTGAGCTACCCAGGGATCCCCTAACATGCTATATTTTAAAACTCCTTTCTAGTGATCATTCTCCTCAAAGAATGAATCCAATTAGTTATATATATGGAAAGATATATGAAACCTCTAAGACCCCGAGGGACTGCAGGAATACCTCATATTATTGCACTTAACTTTACTGTGCATCACAGATAATGTTTTTTACAAATTGAGGGTTTGTGGCGACCCTGCATCAAATAAGACTAGCAGCATCATTTTTCCAACAGCATTTGTTCTCTTCATGTCTCTGTGTCCCATTGTGGTAATTCCTACAATATTTCAATCTTTTTCATTATTGCTATATTTGTTACAGCAATCTGTAACCAGTGATCTTTGATGTTACTATTGTGATTGTTTTGGGGGGCCAAGACCTACACCCATATAAGATAACAAACTGAATCAATAAATGTATGTGTTCTAACTGCTCTGTTAACCAGCCATTCCTCTGTTTCTCCCTCTCCTTTGGGACCCCTGTTCCCTGAGACACAACAATATTGAAATTAGGACAATCAATACCTCTATGGTGGCCATTAGGAGTTCGAGTGAAAGGAAGGGTCAGTTGATGTAGCAAACTTCACTGTTGTCTTATTTTAAGATATTGCCATAGACATGCCCACCTTTAAGCAACCACCACCCTGATCAGTCAGCAGCCATCAACGTTGAGGCAGAGACCCTCCACCAGCAAAAAGATTATGGCTTGCTGCAAGTTCAGATGATGGTTAACACTTTTCAGCAATAAAGCATTTTTTAAATTAATAGACATAATGCTATTACACCCTTAGTAGACTACAGTATAGTGTATAAATAACATTTATATGCACTGGGAAACCAAAAGGTTTATTTAAACTTGTTTTATATATTTGCTTTATTGCTGAGGTCTGGAACCAAGCTTACAAAATCTGAGATACACTTGTGCTATTTAAGCAATGTATACAATCCTGAATTAAGTTGTTAAACAAATAAACAATTCACAACTATTTAGTCTACTTAATACCAAGTAATTGACCTAACTAGTAGCTTATGTGCTCTTTTAAACTGAAGCTTCATATATACGACGATGATAAAGAATCTGACAATCAATCAATGTAAGTATGAGAGGAGATGGGAAATCAGTAAACCCAGTTGTTTATACAACAAAATTATTGACTTGTTTTGTAAATTCATGGCCAAAGGTTCCTGGAAAATTGTATCTGGAAGAAATTCAAGGCAATATGGCCCAACATCTTATTTTAAGGATGATAAAACCAAAGGCCAAGGAGGTTAATGAGTTTACCTGCAATGTCATGACCAAAATGTTGTAGGTCAAGAACTAGGATTAGAACCCATTCTCTTCCCTGGGTGGTTAGCACAGTGGTGTGTTCTCGTGCTTCATATGCCTGGAGAAGAAAATAAGGCTCAGTGGGATTCCTTTCCTGGCACATATCCAACATCACTAAAAATTTATTCTGACTTAAGAGTAGGGCCTCCCATCAGTCAAGCTCAAAAACATTTGTTTTAGAACACTTTCTATCCCTATGATTTGACCCATATTTTATTTAACAAAGTTGGACTACCGAGTCCCATCCTATAAAGCAGGAACACTCGACCTTGTATGCCAGAAACCAGCAGTGTGGGGAGTGACTACAATATGTCACACCATCCAGCTCTACATCACAGCTCTACCCCTGAGCAAACGTGACTTTGGCATCGAAGCAAAATAACTCATACTGTTGCTATGAGGAATTTCTTTTTGCTCCTGTCCTATTTTTGTCCTTTCTCCATGTTAAAGTCTCTGATGTTTTATAGAAAACCTGAAAATACATATTTGGATCAGTTGGTCTGATTATACAAGTATGTAATTCAGTCCATACTCCTGCTTTCTGTATTGTCATCTTTCATCTGCTCCCTGACTCATAATATAACCTTTAGCAGATGACTTTTCTGCACCTAGTTTGTTCAGTGACAAAGCAGAATTAGTAAAATACTAATCCCTTCTCCCCTTGATCAAAATTTTATTAGAATGACTTTTTTTAAAAGTGCCTTTAGGGGATCCCTGGGTGGCGCAGTGGTTTGGCGCCTGCCTTTGGCCCAGGGCGCGATCCTGGAGACCCGGGATCAAATCCCACGTCGGGCTCCCGGTGCATGGAGCCTGCTTCTCCCTCTGCCTGTGTCTCTGCCTCTCTCTCTCTCACTGTGTGCCTATCATAAATAAATAAATTAAAAAAATTTAAAAGTGCCTTTAAGGGCGCCTGGGTGGCTTAGTTGTTGAGCATCTGCCTTTGGCTCAGGTCGTGATCCCGGGCTCAGGTCATGATCCCGGGGTCTTGGAATCGAGTCCCACATCGGGCTCCCCACAGGGAATCTGCTTATGTCTCTGCCTCTTTCTCTGTGTCTCTCATGAATAAATAAATAAAAATCTTTAAAAGAATAAATAAAATAAAATTATTCTACTTATGGGGGTGCCTGTGTGGCTCAGTCAGTTAAGCATCTGCCTTCAGCTCAGGTCATGATCTCAGGGTCCTGGGATGGAGCCCTGTGCCAGGCTTCCTGCTCAGTAGGGAGTCTGCTTCTCCCTCTGACCCCCTACCCGCTCATGCTCATGTTCTCTCTCTCTCTCTCTCTCTCTCAAATGAATAAATAAAAAATATTTTAAAAAATTAAATTAGTCTACTTATGTATCATTACTAATAGACCCTTATTTATCATCTTCATTGTAAGGCATTAAATTAAAGGTACTAAAGAGATCATCCTAACACTTAACATATGAAAATTATGCTAAAAAAAAGCATTAGATGCAACAGACTTTGCTGCTCCAGACAACGTACATTCTAAAATCTTTATATTTTATGAAATAATATCCTTCTGAAATGTTTAAAAGTAAAAAGAAGAAGAAGAAGAAGAAGAAGAAGAAGAAGAAAAAGAAGTTTTTAATTGCCTCCCCTGCTCTCTCTTCCTGGGTGATTTCTCCTGGCTGCCATGTCTGAAACAGGCAGAGAGACACTAAGCGTAATACTGACCAACACTTAAAAAGATGAGAATATTGGTCACCATTGGTAGCACCTATTTGCATCATTTTTTCTAAGATCGGGGCCATATTTTTTTTTCCTGAATTTGACTGCATTTTCTAACCAGAACCCATTTTTGCCTAAGAGCACACATTACAATATAATTTTATGGATTCACTTTGTGGCCATGGGACAGGACAATGCTAACTTCAATTTTGATTTAAGCCTCATATTATTTTTTATTTATTCATGAGAGACACAGAAAGAGAGGCAGAGACATAGGCTGAGGGAGAACCAGGCTCCTGATGCGGGACTTTATCCCAGGACCCCCAGAATCATGACCCGAGCCAAAGGCAGACGCTTAACCACTGATGCCCAGGTACCCCTAGCCCCATAATTTTATCCAACCAAACTAAGTGCCCACACAGGGACCCTTGCTGGAAGCTTAGATTATTTTTTTCCTTGTAGGTAGATAAACATCACTATGTGGTTTCTTGATAAGTAATTGGAAACATTTTATATGTCTTCTTTTAGCCTGGATTATAGGACAAGCCCTGAGAGAACTTGGTTCAATGGGAAAATATCCTTCTACATTGTTTCTTGCTTTGTCATTTTGAAACTATGTCCATACAGGGAAACCCATCTGGAGGATAACTAGAAAATCTAAAAAAGTATTTCACGTTTCAGCTACCTATTTATCTGCTTATATGGAGATAAGAAAACCAAATACCAGAGAATTACTAAAAGCTTCCTTACTCACCAAAATTGCTCTATGTCAGCAATTCCTTTTTTTTATGTGAATTAATAATCAAATGCTTTTCTCTAAAAGGTATTGATTAGTTTAAATCAAGTAGAAATTTCCATCTTAAGAAGACAGAGTCTCAAAGAGCCCACCTAGAGCATAGTTTCATTTAACAATTCTCTAGCCTCTTGTGTATAGTAGACGCTTCATGCAATGTAATGAAAGGCTGGGTTTACCCTCTTCACTGTATTCTATCATCCCACATGGACACATGTATCCACAAATAATGACTGAGATATCTAGTGTTAGGGTTGGTGAGGTGTAAATTATTGGCTGAGCCATTTGTGATTAATAAAGCATGAAGCGTAAGTTGCTCAGCAGCCTTCAAATACAGCTTCTGTACAATGTGACATTTAGCTAAAATGTTAGAGCAAGATCCATGAGATCTGAAAGCTAAATTGCAAACTGCTAAAGAGTAACACCATGTATTCTCCACAAGGGAACATGGTTAAGCATCCAAGAGGACAATCCAAGACAAATTCCATATGTAGCAAGTGAGACTACCTGGCTAATTCTTTGACATGTAAGTGTAAAGACTACTGGATTCTAAGTGATTAAAGATTCCTTGTCAAGACAATGAAAATATCTGCTTTTCTATTGCCATTTTTCACGTGGTTCTTGCTGAAATATTTGCATAATTTAAATGAGCTGTGCTGTTATGTCTCATTTATGGAGAACCAGCTTCTAGTCACTGAGTGTTTGGGGGTAATTTTGCATTAAGTAGAAAAGCAGAGCTCTTTAAAAATGTCTCTTCTCTTAAGAAAAGAGAATTGTTCAAATAGACTAACATTATTCAGCCTGGTTCTCACCTCTTAATCCTGAAGCCAGTGCTCGTGGGGCTGATGCCTGTGGCTGTTGTCATTCTAGATGCGAAGGATGAGTTCTTGCAGCAACATCTGTCGGTCCAAGCAGGCACAGGCTGCTACTGAGGGTAACTACCAGCGCTATGGAGTCCGGTCCTACCTGCACCAGTTTTATGAGGACTGTACCACCTCAATCTGGGAGTATGAGGATGATTTCCAGATCCAGAGATCCCCTAATAGGTGGAGCTCAGTATTCTGGAAGGTAAGCAAAGAACAATTGTGTGAGTCAAGAGATGAAAACATTATTGGAAATGGTAAACCCTGTAGCTATGAAGAACTGAGGGGTTTGGTCCTCTCTGTGTGCATCAGTCTTGGTAACACTAAGTGGTTTTTCTTCCCTTAGGAAAGGAGAATAGAAACCTTGGGCTGAAGAAAGCCCCTGAACACAGTACAATTGTTGGTTTGCAGGTTAAACACAAATAGGAATAAGTGTCATCATTAATTATTATTTTTGCTACTGTGATTGATGTGCCACTAAATTCACCAGCTGTGAAGCCACCCATAGGCAAAACATTACGCTTCTAGCCTCCCTTATAGGCTTGGTAAGTATCATTTGACAGATTACAACAATTATTAAGAAGAAATCATTGGCTATTGAGAGAGATTGATGCTGAGACATAATACAATGGTCAGTGTGCCAGTTCTACCTCTATCAGATGTGATCATGAGGCTCTGTGAGCTTCAGCTTCTTCACATGAAGACACCTCATTAGACAATATATTCAGTCATTCAGCATATAATTAGTGAGCACCTACTATGTGCCAAGAAGTTGCAAAGTGCTAGAAATTAAAGTGATAAACAGAAAAGGAAAATCCCTTGCCTTCTTGGAACTTGCAACCTATCATGGAAAATAAACCATAAACAAATAATCCAAATAACAGAATGTCTGGTAGTGACGTGTGCTGTGAAGAGAAATGAATGAGGACAAGAGGGTAGGGAGTGATGGAGGCCTGGTATTTAGTGTGCTGTTTATAGACACCCCTTCAAAGGAGATGACATTTGAGCAAGTACCAGGATGAGCTGAGGAAGCAGACCATAAGATTACCTAGCTGAAGGTCCTTCTGGGCTGGGAAATACCAAGTGCAAATGGTGAAATGGGAACAAATTTGACGTGCTTGAAAAATAGCAAGAGTTCCAGTGTGGTTGACATAGAATAAGAGTGGGAAAAAGGACAGGTGATGGATCGAGAAAAATAACAGGACACATGGTTTATGTAGAGCCTTGTAGATGATAATGAGGACACTGGCTTTTACGTTGAGAGATATGGAAAGCCACCTGAATGTCTTTCGCAGAAGAGTGCCATGATCTAAGATTTTAACAGGATAATTCTGACTACAGTATGGAAAACAGATTATAGGAGGCCAAGGGTAGAGGCAGCCAGATTATTTGGGAGGGTCTGAATGAACCCAGGCAAGAGGTAATGATGGCTTGGATTAGGTGGTGTTGGTAGAGATGGTGAGAAGTAATCTGACGTAGCATAAAGTTTGAAGACCAAGCTGTCAGGATGTGCTAATGAAGTACACATGAGAGATAGAAGAGTCAGGTATGCCTCTAAGGCTTGTGACCAAAGCTGTTTACTGAGTGGTGTCATAATTTTCTGGGATGGTGAACACTGGGAGAGCAATGAGAGTGGTGAGGAATCAAGAGTTTGAATTTGGCCATGTTTTGCTAGAGATGCCTATTACACATGTGAGTGGGGATCTCTAGTGGTAATTTAAATGCAGCTCATGGATTGGGAGTCTCTCACATACAGAATATATGAGGAACTGGACTAGATAAAATGATCCAAGAAGAGAGTATGGACATAGAAGAGGCATCAGGATGTCTGAACATTCAGAAATCAAGAACAGAGTGAGGATTTAGGGAGGAATGCTGAGAAGTACAACCTTTGGAGGGGCCTCCAGTCCCCTCCAGCTCTGAGATCCCAGTCATTCCCAGTCTTCTCCCAAAAGATCCCAGAATGTTTAACATTGATGTTGACATAAACTTACAATTTACTAGCAATGTAGTTTAACAAGAAGCAATGTTGTGTAATGTTTATGAGCCTGGCCTCTGTCCTCAGATTACATGGGTTCAAACCTCAGCTCTTCCATTTAAAGCACTGTACCTTTGGGCAAGTTAATTGATCATAGTGGGGCCCAATGGTGATGCTTATCGTACCTACCAGGTAAAATTGTAAGAATTAAAAAGATGTCTGGTATGCACTCAAGCATCCGGCATATTAGCTCCTACTATCTATCAGATGTCGTATGAAACATTGGGTCCTGAAGTGGAAATAAAACGTGAAACCTAGTTAATACATAAAGCAGTGGGTAACACAGTTGTTAACATGGATTACCCGAGACCTGTGTTAATTCAGTATCTTACAAGTGTCATGTACTCTGTATTAAAATTGGTTGAGCCAACATCCTTGCCCTGTAGAAATGTCATCTCTGATGAATCCTTACTGGCCTGAACCAATTAAATGCATAGCCAAGCTTGACACATCTTGTATTTACCCAGTTAAGTGGGTAGTTGCTTCCCCATGTGTCAAAAAAACAAATATTTGCCTGACAGGATCTGTTGTGCCAAGAGTCTGAAATGCCACTGTCATACAGAATATTGAAACCATTCACGTGGTTCCAAGGCACTACCAGTTATGTGACTTGAGAAGCTATAAATCCATCAAATAACCTATAGGGATGGATTCAAAATAAAGAACTCACAGTAGATTACCAACCCCAGAATTCAGATTTCAGAATTCAGAATTTTCACTTCTATTTTACACAAACAAGATTCAAAAGTTCCCCCCCCACACACACAACCCCCGCCACCCACCCTGCTATGCTGGACCTACTTCAGAGACTTAAAACAGGCTCCAGTTCATGGCCTCACAGAGTTTATATTCCAGCGAAACCCAAATCTTAAACTCAGAACCTAACCACAAAACATGAGACTGGGCACTCAGAGGCTTATAGTCAACCTGAATCATCTAAGAATTCACTTCTTAGAGACCTCACCTCTACCAAGGGAATAAACTCACTGTTCCTCATGTTCTTTATAGGAAGTACAAGTGAATTCATGCCAGTGGGTTTATGAAATGCTTGGTATCAATATAGAGTAAGGCAGTGATTGTGCACGTGTTTCTAATTATGATTCTTTTTTTATGGTTGGTTTTTCTTTCATTTCAAACTGCATCTGTAGGTGGTTTCATGGGCTTGCCCTCTCCCCATTCCGAGTAAAGTGGTACTAAGGTGGCATTGGTCTCTCTTGAGGGGCTCTACCCAGGTACTTCCGTGGGACTCTGCCATGGAGCGGGCTCCTTAGCAACCAGCAGCATGGATTGACTTAATGAGAATGGAGATAGGAATCAAATGAGCCTGAGTTAGAATCTTTGCCCTGTCATGTGATATAACCTGTGTCTCACAATGCTATTCATTCTTTCTTTCTACAAATGTTTGTGTGTCTGCTGTGTTCAAGGTTATGTGGGAGGCTCTGGGAATTGTTTGTGAATAAGATGCTATTCTTCCCCTGTGAGTTAGAGCCGTGACCTGAAGGAGTTCATAAATAGGGAAAGTAGACGTGTTCACAGACAGTTACAAATCCAGAATGATAAACACTACTCTACAAGTAGTCACAGTCCGTAGTGGGAGCATGGGGTTTGGGAGCAGGAAGGATCTGAAGCAACCTGGAGAGGAAGTGGCTCCCCAAAGAGATTACCCTTGAACAAGCAGGAAATAGGCATCATGGTAGGAAGAAACTGAGTCCTTCAAAGCTGAATCCTGAAGAGATAATGGCATATTCAGAAGCCTGCAAATAGCTCAGTACGGCCGGGGTAAAGTACAAGTTGGAAGACAGGGGTCCAGAGACGAATGGGGGAAAGAATACAGAGCTAGATCACAGAAGACTTTGAAAAGCTCTGAAATCTAAATTTCTTCAGAGGCTTCCAGCTTGAGTACAGCAAGAAATAAAGCTAGGCTTTCTTGGGAAGGTTGTGTCACAGTCAGGTATAAACACACACACACACACACACACACACACACACTGTACCTCACAGGTTCTACCCCATGGTTGCCTCAATCACAACTCCTTTACCCCAGTGCCTGCAACTCCTGCCACCTGCAAAAGTCTATGTGATGCAGTCCCACCTGCCCCCTGCCACCCACTGCACTGCCCAGGAATCAAACTGGCTGTGGAGGGACTTTTCTTCTTACTCTTGCACTGGACCTTGGCTAAGGCTGTTGCCATCTGATTGTGCAGCAGATCACCTCAGGAAGGCAGGTATAAATGAATGGGAGCAATCTCCTTACCCCATTTATGCTTTCCTCACCTCAGAGTGATCTTCCTCCTCCCATAGTAGAAACTTCTCAGAGGGTGATCCACAGTAATGTGCAAGTACAAGGTAAGACTGTGTCCTCTGTAGCCCCTCTGTTTACTCCCAACACCCTCCTCCTGTCTGCTCTGAGATAAGCCAGAGTTTAAACTTGTGTCTTGGATTCTTCTTCAAAGTTTTGCTAGGTGTTACAGAGTTGGTTTTATACTAGAAATGAGAGGAGCTCAGTGGATGGGTGGATGGCAGGAACACAGAGAAAGTGGGAAGGGAGGGAGGAAGGAAGGAAAGAAACAAGCAAGGAATATTGAATATTTTCAGTTTGAGGAGCTTTTGGGATGTTCTTGTGTAGGTCCTCCTACCAGCTGTCAGAAGTCCGGGGATAAAGCCCAGGAAGGAAATCCAGGCTGGAGATGGAAATTGGAAGTCACTGGTTTATTGGTGGGAGTTGAAGCCATGGTCACACATTCAGACCTAGAGATATCATCTTCAACAAGAGATATGAGTCAAGGGGGAACCCTGGGGAACACCATTAGTTTAAGAACACCTGGCAAAACAGGTTGAGAGTGCGTTGTTGAAGATGCAGTTATAGAAACAGGAAAGTTGTGACAGGGACAAGAGTGTGGGTTTTTAAGAAGATGCAAGTGCTCAGAATCCCTGACTGCAGAATAATCAAATGCAGTAATACTAGATTTGGCAATTAGGAGGTCTTTGGTGACCTCAGAGAAGCCAATTTCAGGGAAATTGTGGGACCAAGCTTGAATTTCAAGAGTTGCATGGGTTCAAGCAGTAGCTAAAGAGAGACACAGGGCTCTGGAATGGGTTTTGAAGATGGAAACAATTGAATGTGTTCATGTGCTGGAGGGACAGAGCCTCCATAAGGTAGAAAACTGAGTGTGGGGCACCAGGTCACCATGCCCTTTGGCAGGGGATCTTCGAGCCCTTCAGATCACACCTGGGCATCAGTAGTTGCTCTGTAGAGCTCAGTGTACCTACAGGGAGGTCAGGCCAGATGAGTTGCAATCGGCTGTCACCGCTGGGAGGTGACAGCACTCCGAGCCCAGGTCCTGCTGAGGAAAGGTCAGTGCAGCCTTGGGGCTGATGGAGAAGAAGTGCCAGACTTCCATCTTGGCTGAGCTTCCCTCGAGTGTGACCTCGAACCCAGATGGTTCCTTTCACATTCAGCTCCAGCCAGCGCCCCCAGCATCCTTCCTGCCATGCTGGTTCTTGCTTCCAGTAGTCATTGCCACATCCTCTTTGCCAGAACAGCTGCGACAGCTCCTGCTGCCAGCCCTGCTATTTGGAGTAAACAGAGGTATATTTAGACCTCAGTGGCTCACACGCAGATGATGCCGGGGATGTTGGTCAGAGGAACAGCAGGCTCTGGCTGGCAGCCTGCAACAGCAGATTTCTGGAATCGGGGTCCTCCTCCTTGTCCAATGCCCCTTTCCAGCAGCAGACACTGGATTCTCACACCTCCTCCCCACAGCCAGGAAGGCCATCAAAGTCGCTATTCTTGCTCCTTTCTGCTGTTGTAAGGGTTGTCACAGCTGAAATAGGCCCTTGTGTCTCAGCAGTGGCCTGACCTCACCACCACCACCACCAGGAGCGCCAGGCTGCTCCTGGCCCCAGAGGGCCCCCGCCCTGTGGTTTTCCCGCTCTCTGCGTGCACCCACACAGGGCTACTTGCTCTCTCAGACCTTCAAGGGCCTCTGTGTTGCATGTTTTAACTCTCTCTATTAAATAGAGCCTCTTTCTCTTAGATCAAGGACCTCTTCAGCCTAGAGCTGTGTCCAGAGATAGTTTCTCTGGTTCTGTAATGGCATCACTCCCAAAATCTTTATTCCTCCTTATACTCCAGGATGGTACCAGGGTTAAGCTGATGCATCCCAACATCCCTTCTCACCTCTGTCATACTCTCAGTTAAGACACAGTGTATTTTAGATTCCACGGCTGCCCCGCCACTCCCGCCTTCCCATGCTCTCCCAAATGTGTTTCCACGATGTTTAGGGTCCTCTCTGGGCACATGTCTCAGAGATCCTCTTTAGACTTGCATTGAGGGCACCTTCTGTGTCCTAGGAGTGGGCTGTTCGCCACCATCATGCTCCCCTCCACAGATGGCAGGCCTCCTTCTGATACTCTGATGCAACAGGGAAGAGGCGCTGGGAGGCCAGCCACTTTCCAGTTCTTGAAGTGAGCAGGAGTCCTGCCATCTGCAAGGCTTAGTTTGCCTTTTAGCTTCTGAATGAGATTCCAAGAGTGGATTTTAATCTATAAAGCACTGCTCAGTTGAGGAGCAGGCTGCTCTGAGAATCAATCACCTGGCTCCGTATTCAGCAGTCTGGCAGTTCAAGTTATTCAGTTAGGAATATTTATGGCGTGTAAGGCAGGAATGGGATATGGAGAGTGAGACAGAAATAGAAGTCGGAGAGCACTGGCCTCGGTTGCTCTTGAGAACCTCAGAAACTGAGATGGATACGTTCCCACAGTGCTCAGTTCCTGAAAATCAGTGCCAATTCTTGAGGAAGGTGATTTAGTGACATGCAAGGCATGTCACCATGGATATTTATGTTAATTTAGCTTGTGCATTCAGAACTTTCCAATGTGACTCATTTTTAAGTTACAAATAATGGTTGGTCTTTGGAGGTGAAGTTGTCACTATTTTTAGAAAAATCTAGAAAGCCATCCAAAATGTTATATTTAACAACCTAATTTTTCCTATAGTATTTAGATCTCATGTAGAATAGTTTAGTTTGTTCTTTCAGAAGACATGATATTGGCTCTGTTTTTTCGATTTCTTTACAATATTACATAATGGAAATGTGTCCATATTGGTGACTAAAACTCTGTGGCAATTAAAAATAAAAATAATAGCAGATAATATGCAAAATAGTAATTGGTGAAGTACCACAGGAGAATAAAAGTGGAGTGTGAGGATTGGAAGTCACACAGACCTGGGTTAGAGCCCGCTCACACCACCTGCTAGCTACAGGACTTTGCAGTATGCTTCTTCCACCCAATGTCCCTCAGTCTCTTATAGCTGAAATAGGAATAAAAATACCTCTCTTTCATAAGATGCTTGTGAGGATGAAGTGGAAAACATGTCAAATGCTATGCTATGGTCACAAAAGATAATAGCACACTAGCTCTCTGATGAATTTGTGAATGTTTTCCTTCTATTATCCAGACCTTCTTTATTAGTGTATTACCCTGAAGTTTAATAAGTAAGTTAAATAAATATACTTTAGATTCAAAGCTCAAAATTAAATGGTGGATGCCATTTGGGTTTTCTCCAACTTTGTTATGCTAGCTAGAAGCAATGAGGAACAGGAGGAAATGAAAAATGTATTTAAAAGATGAATAACTACATTAGCTGTTCCTTAGTCCAAGTGCTCAGATTATTGCAATGCTGTTGCCAATGTAGCATAATTTCACAAGAGGTGCATTCAAATAGATGTAATAATAGCTACTTATTACAGTCTATTGCTTAGCCAGGCTCCGGGCTGAGTGCCTTTGGGCCTGGCCTCACTTGGTTTTCACCACGACTCCGATTATCATTCATCATTTTATAGATGGGGAAATTAAGGATGAGAGTGTTTAAGTAACTTTCCTTGTATGATTGAAGTACTAGTTGGCAGCCCTAGAACCCAAGCTGGAATCTGTCCATTCCAAACCACTAAAGGGTATACAGTCTTCTCTCTCTTCCATGTGTTACATTTTATTCAAACTGGAGCTAATGCAGTTTCATTTCCCATCCACCACTCCCAGAGCTTCTCAACATCTAGGGATCCCTGGGTGGCGCAGCGGTTTGGCGCCTGCCTTTGACCTGGGGCACGATCCTGGAGACCCGGGATCGAATCCCACATTGGGCTCCTGGTGCATGGAGCCTGCTTCTCCCTCTGCCTGTGTCTCTGCCTCTCTCTCTCTCTCTCTCTCTCTCTCTCTCTCTCTCTCTCTCTGTGTGTGTGTGACTATCATAAATAAATAAAAAAATTTTAAAAAATTTTTAAAAAAATAAAAAATAAAATAAAATCGACATCTGCCTGTGCAAGGAAACCCCAAGTGGCTCCATGTGAGCCGAGAAAGGACATGGCCTGGGGGCCCTTCTGTGGCTTCTAGCCCTGCCTCTGCAACTTGGTCACTGTCATCTGTCCTTGGGCCAGTGACCTTCCTTCCTTGAGGCTACATTTCATGAACCGTTAAACTTAAGCAATTCCTTCCCAGTAACTTGGGGAAGGGGTGGGTAGTTATGTGGATTGCCAGCATCCTCCATTCAGATCACCAGGAACATACCTGTATGTTGGACAAGTTGACTTTATCACTCGTCACAGTGAGAGAGGGGACACCAGAGGGTCTCCTGGGGTATTCCAATAAGAGTGTGAGGAAGGATGTATTATGGAATGGGGGCTTTGGGCAGGCAGAGGGTCTATAGAGCTAGAGTTCATTCTGGATTGTCAGGATCAGTCCTATGATTGGATAACAAATAAATAAGAAATCTTACCCACAGGGAGGGCAGATGAGGGTAGGACTAAAGCTGTAATTGGCAAAGAAGCAGCTGTTGTTCATATTACTTGGTGGGAGTTGGGGGGAGGCTTTTGATATTTTGTGATTTGCACAATGAGGTGGTTTTCACTGTGCTTAGACAACGACAAAGCGGGCTTGTTTCATGTCACTTCATCACGGGCATGGGATGAGCTCATTTGACATTAATGTTCTGTGTCACAGATTCTATCAGCAGGAGAATAACACAGCATCCCTGTGAGCGCCAGGCCAGCTTCTCTGAGCATCAGGACCTAGTGGATAGAGTCAAGTGAGTCCTGATGTCAGAGCGGCCTTGCTCTTCCTCAGAGCCTGAACGAGACCACCTAGACCAAAGGCGGCTTGGTCAGCTGCAAAGCTTGTGCAAACAGAAAGCTCAAAGGGAAAATCAAGGCAGGGCGGCCGTTCCTGGTGGCCTCCTCTTGCCACCTTCTTTTACAGTTAGGAAATGATGTAGGCTTCTGATACAGATTTGGGGTGAACGGGAATATGAACTTCTCCCAAAAACCATGTCTTGCCAGGTAGGGCTCCGGAGAGCTGTGCTCACTCTGTCCCACCCCCGTGTGTCTCTCTCCAGGTCGGACTCATCTCGGGCACAGTCTTTGTGATTCTTGGACTGACTGTTCTGGCAGTGGGCTTTCTGGTGCCCCCCAAAATCGAAGCCTTCGGGGAAGCCGACTTTGTGGTGGTGGACACGCAGGCCGTGCAGTTTAACGGCGCCCTGGACGCGTGCAAGCTGGCCGGGGCGGTTCTCTTCTGCCTGGGGGGCACGTCCATGGCAGGGTGTCTTCTGATGTCCGTGTTCGTGAAGAGCTACTCCCAGGAAGAGAAGCTCTTCCAGCAGAAGTTTAAGGAGCGGATCGCCGACATCAGGCCTCCCGCCCAGCCCATCACCAAAGCTCCGGGCCCCGGGGAGACAAAGATTCCGGTCACTCTGTCCAGGGTTCAGAATGTCCAGCCCGTGTCGGCCACCTGAAGCGCTGCCCCCCCAGGCCCCGCTCCGGGATCCCAGCGCTCACGTGGAGCGGGGCGCGCGCTGAGATGAGGGCCAGGGCGTGGGCTGGCCGGGCCGGGGCTCGGGGCTCGGGGCTCGGGGTCGGCGGCGGGCGCGGGGCGTGAGCTCAGGGCGGCCGGGCTCGGGGGGCTCGGGGGGCTCGGGGGGCTCGGGGGCAGGGCGGGGCGGGGCGCAGACCCTGCGGATGCACCGCACCGCTTCTGGGGCGCTCGGGGGCCGGCAGGTGCCCCCGGGAGCTCCCCTCGCAGACGCCGTGACGCTCTGCTGTTTCCCTTGCACCTCGGGGAGAGCACCCAGCAGTCTAGACCAGATGACCAACGGCTAACGTGCTGTGTTTTATTTTCTCATATTGGTCTCCTGATCTTTCTTGTGTGGTGCTCCTTCCATTCCTGTCTCACTACGTGTAAGATATTGTCATGTGTGTTCGTAGAAAAACTGAGCTCCTTGGTTTTGACCCCAACATTAGTCTTTCAACTCTATCTTCACCTGAGGTTACTGAGACTGGATACAAATTTATTGGAGTTCTCCACAAATCTTGTTTTGTTCTGTTTTGGTTTTTCCAACGTTTTCACTTGAAAAGCTAATATTGCCAATTTTAGAATCTTAGGGAAAGGATTAATATTGGGAGTGTCTGTGCAGTGTCCAGAAGCCAGGGAATGAGATATGACTATGAACTAGCTGTGTGGCCCTGGGGGATTCGTTTAACCTCCCCTGGCCTCAGTTTCCCCAACTGTATGACAAAGATCCTGGATGTGGTGGCCAAGATTCCTCTTTTGCCGCCATCATCATGTCTCCCTGGGGACGTGTTTGTGACATCCCCATGGCTCACACCTCAGTGGGACTGTCCAAGAGCCCAACTCTCAGAAAATCTCCGAATCAGCAGCTACTCACCTTTCAATATCCAACCTGAGCAGTTTATATAGCGCTGTCATGTTTTTATAAAGACAAAAGTAAGCCATCCTCAAATAAGAAACCCGTGAGTACATATTAACCTTAAAAAGGGTTTTCTTTCTCAGATATTTTATTCTCCAGCAAGATGCTCGTCTCATCCTTATGCACTTGGACTTAATCTGTGGATTCAAACTGGACTAAGGAACATGTTACCTTGGTATTCTCTCAGAAATTGTGCCCCCTTCGAGTTCTGTCTCTCTCTTCTTTCTTCCTTCACTGGATAAATAAAATATGTGACCAAGCAGACCTGAGTTGTATTGTCATTCCTTCACCATGGCTGTTGTCTCTCCAACATGCAAGTCTTGGTCCTGAGGCCATATAAGCTCTCATGTTTCCCTGGAAGAACCAAGCAAACAGTTGGTGCTCTGGCTGCACACTGTTTGCTATGCATGGTCCAGCAGGAAACCCAGGGCAGGTGGGCACCTGCAACAAGGATCATGGGCCAGATTGGGGAGAAATTGTCCCCGTTTCCTCACGTTCTCACCTTGCTGTGGAAATAGCATTTTAAATTTATCCTTTGGAGCCTTATGTAAGTCCCTAGCATCTGTTCAAGGCAACATCACGTGAAGCTTTCCATGCTTGCTTCTGCCTCATGCACCAGTGAAACTTGGCAGGGGAGACTTGGCTTTGCCAAGCCTCCACAATGAACAAATAATGGTGGCAGGGCTTGGGGACCTTTAGGTACAGGCATGATAACAGCCATTAAAAAGCAGCTCTGGAGAGGGAGGGGCAAGACGCTGGAAGAGTAGGGTCCCCAAATCACCTGTCCCCACCAAATTACCTAGATAACCTTCAAATCATCCTGAAAATCTACGAATTCGGCCTGAGATGTAAAGAGAGACCAGCTGGAACGCTACAGTGAGAAGAGTTCGCGCTTCTATCAGGTAGGAAGACGGGGAAAAAGAAATAAAGAAACAAAAGGCCTCCAAGGGGGAGGGGCCCCGCGAGGAGCCGGGCTGAGGCCGGGGCGAGTGTCCCCAGGACAGGAGAGCCCCGTCCCGGAGGAGCAGGAGCTGCACCAACCTTCCCGGGGGAAAGGGGCTCGCAGGGAGTTGGAGCAGGACCCAGGAGGGCGGGGATGCCCTCGGGCTCCGGGGACACTAACAGACACCTGCGCCCCGGGGAGTGCGCCGAGCTCCCTAAGGGCTGCAGCGCGCACGGCGGGGACCGGAGCAGCTCGGAGGGGCTCGGGCGGCGGCTCCGCGGAGGGGGCTGCGGGGCGGGAGCGCGAATCCAACAGCGCAGGCCCCGGAGCACAGGGCGCCGGGACACAGCCCAGGATCCGGCCTCCCCCGGGACAGGCAGAGGCCGGGAGGGCCCAGGACAGCGAGGACGCTCCTGCCCCGAGCTGAGCAGATCAGCGACCCGCCCCGGAGCCTCCAGGCCCTGCAGACGGAGAGCCCCGTAGTTCCTGCGGGGGCTGAATCAAGGGCTCCAGAGCTGCCCCTAGCACTGGGGCTGTTACTCCTGGGGCCTCACGGGGTAAACAACCCCCGCTGAGCCCTGCAGCAGGCAGGGGCAGAGCAGCTCCCCCAAGTGCTAACACCTGAAAATCAGCACAACAGGCCCCTCCCCCAGAAGACCAGCTGGACGGACCAGTTCCAGGGGAAGTCAAGGGACTTAAAGTCTACAGATTCAGAAGATACTCCCCCGTGTTTTTTGTTTTTTTTTTTGTTTGTTTGTTTGTTTTCTTTTTGATTTCTGATTGCTTCCCCCACCCCCTTTTTTTCTTTCACCTTTCTTTCTTTTTCTTTCTCTTTTTCTTCTTTTTTTCCCTTTTTTCCTTCTTTTTCTTTTTTCTTTTTCTCTTTTCTTTCTTCTCTCTCTTTTTCTCCTTTTCCCAATACAACTTGTTTTTGGCCACTCTGCATTGAGCAAAATGACTATAAGGAAAACCTCACCTCAAAAGAAAGAATCAGAAACAGCCCTCTCTCCCACAGAGTTACAAAATCTGGATTACAATTCAATGTCAGAAAGCCAATTCAGAAGCACTATTATACAGCTACTGGTGGCTCTAGAAAAAAGCATTAAGGACTCACGAGACTTCATGACTGCAGAATTTAGATCCAATCAGGCAGAAATTAAAAATCAATTGAATGAGATGCAATCCAAACTAGAAGTCCTAACGACGAGGGTTAACGAGGTGGAAGAATGAGTGAGTGACATAGAAGACAAGTTAATGGCAAAGAGGGAAACTGAGGAAAAAAAGAGACAATTAAAAGACCATGAAGACAGATTAAGGGAAATAAATGACAGCCTAAGGAAGAAAAACCTACGTTTAATTGGGGTTCCCGAGGGCGCCGAAAGGGCCAGAGGGCCAGAATATGTATTTGAACAAATCCTAGCTGAAAACTTTCCCAATCTGGGAAGGGAAACAGGCATTCAGATCCAGGAAATAGAGAGATCCCCCCTAAAATCAATAAAAACCGTTCAACACCTCGACATTTAATAGTGAAGCTTGCAAATTCCAAAGATAAAGAGAAGATCCTTAAAGCAGCAAGAGACAAGAAGTCCCTGACTTTCATGGGGAGGAATATTAGGGTAACAGCAGACCTCTCCACAGAGACGTGGCAGGCCAGAAAGGGCTGGCAGGATATATTCAGGGTCCTAAATGAGAAGAACATGCAACCAAGAATACTTTATCCAGCAAGGCTCTCATTCAAAATGGAAGGAGAGATAAAGAGCTTCCAAGACAGGCAGGAACTGAAAGAATATGTGACCTCCAAACCAGCTCTGCAAGAAATTTTAAGGGGGACTCTTAAAATTCCCCTTTAAGAAGAAGTTCAGTGGAACAATCCACAAAAACAAGGACTGAATAGATATCATGATGACACTAAACTCATATCTGTCAATAGTAACTCTGAACGTGAACGGGCTCAATGACCCCATCAAAAGGCGCAGGGTTTCAGACTGGATAAAAAAGCAGGACCCATCTATTTGCTGCTAAGAGACTCATTTTAGACAGAAGGACACCTACAACCTGAAAATAAAAGGTTGGAGAACCATATACCATTCAAATGGTTCTCAAAAGAAAGCAGGGGTAGCCATCCTTATATCAGATAAACTAAAATTTACCCCAAAGACTGTAGTGAGAGATGAAGAGGGACACTATCTCATACTTAAAGGATCTATCCAGCAAGAGGACTTAACAATCCTCAATATATATGCCCCGAATGTGGGAGCTGCCAAATACTTAAACCAATTATTAACCAAAGTGAAGAAATACTTAGATAATAATACACTTATACTTGGTGACTTCAATCTAGCTCTTTCTACCCTCGATAGGTCTTCTAAGCACAACATCTCCAAAGAAACGAGAGCTTTAAATGATACACTGGACCAGATAGATTTCACAGATATCTACAGAACTTTACATCCAAACTCAACTGAATACACATTCTTCTCAAGTGCACATGGAACTTTCTCCAGAATAGACCACATACTGGGTCACAAATCGGGTCTGAACCGATACCAAAAGATTGGGATCGTCCCCTGCATATTCTCAGACCATAATGCCTTGAAATTAGAACTAAATCACAACAAGAAGTTTGGAAGGACATCAAACACGTGGAGGTTAAGGACCATCCTGCTAAAAGATAAAAGGGTCAACCAGGAAATTAAGGAAGAATTAAAAAGATTTATGGAAACTAATGAGAATGAAGATACAACCGTTCAAAATCTTTGGGATGCAGCAAAAGCAGTCCTGAGGGGGAAATACATCGCAATACAAGCATCCATTCAAAAACTGGAAAGAACTCAAATACAAAAGCTAACCTTACACATAAAGGAGCTAGAGAAGAAGCAGCAAATCGACCCGACGCCCAGCAGAAGAAGAGAGTTAATTAAAATTCGAGCAGAACTCAACGAAATTGAGACCAGAAGAACTGTGGAACAGATCAATAGAACCAGGAGTTGGTTCTTTGAAAGAATTAATAAGATAGATAAACCATTAGCCAACCTTATTAAAAAGAAGAGAGAGAAGACTCAAATTAATAAAATCATGAATGAGAAAGGAGAGATCACTACCAACACCAAGGAAATACAAACGATTTTAAAAACATATTATGAACAGCTCTACGCCAATAAATTAGGCAATCTAGAAGAAATGGACGCATTCCTGGAAAGCCACAAACTACCAAAACTGGA